CACACACACACACACACAAACTTTCAATCTCTCTCACTTTCTTTCACCGGCCAATAAGCGTTCAGGCGGATGCCTACCCTTGACCTGTATGAGGCGATGGAAATGAAAAAACGAGGAGCACAACTGAGACGAAAGGATCAATAGGCCAATTGAGCCTAAACCAGCGTGACTGGGCAAACTTGAACCGGGCGTGAAGTCAAGGCGGTAAAGGCTGATGAGATGATGAAATGGAAAGCAAAAATAACGGCTAAAGGACGACTTGAGGACCGGTAAAGTACAGGAGCGGCAGACAGTCGAAGCGAAGCAAGTTGATTCGATGAGAGTGGAGTAGAGTGGACTGTACTAGATTGGAGCAAAGTGTGTCAAAGTGTGGAGGAGTGGCCTTTTCTGGCTGGTTGTGGTAGTTGGCTTTCTATTGGGCGCAACGCAAATTGATGTACCGGTGATGAATAGAGGCAAACATGCCCTGACGGGCATTTTGAGGGACCATGTGGACATTTGTCGCCTCGTCTGTCTGTACTTTCAGCAGCCAAAACAGCAGACAAAACAGGATACCATTTGAACGAACCAATGGAATTGGCAAGGAGGCAGTTTGATGCTGAAAACGCACGAGCGAACGGTACCGAAGCGATCGAAATGGTGCTGAAACGGGGTGGATTGTGAGCGGCCGAGTCAGCCTCAGCGGCGTACGATGCGATGGGAGAAACATCAAACTGAGCTAATGTAGCGAGCTCCGAGGCCGAGGCTGGCGCCCACTTTGGCGTCGCGCCTCCGAGGGGTGGGCACAATCGGCCTCCCACCGGAGTCCAGGATCGTGCCAACACAGGCAGTGGTAACTAGGCGGCAGTTTGCGGCCAAACCAGCCATCAGCGAGCCACTTTCTGACGAGAGGACAGTTAATGAAGGTCACTAGGAGTTTGGTCACCCAAGATCAAGTTTTCCCATGCAATCACATGATTTGGTCTCACAAAACAATTGCATTTTACAAGTCACGTCCATACAAATTCACGTTTACTTCGTCGTCATTGTGGATAGGACAGACGAGTGTGTCATATGACGAACATCATCAGAGCAAGGTATCCTCGTCACAACCAAATTCAAGCTAACGATTCAAGAAAACTCACCGGCAAACCCATAAAAAGTGGTATATACACTCTACACACACGTACAGAGACCAACTTTGACTAAACAAATCACTTTATACTTGATTAAAGAGGCCAGATGTAGAGTATATATATACCAATTTTTAGGGATTTGCCGGCGAGTTTTCCTGACTCGTTAACTTGAATTTTGTTGTGACAGTGATATCTCGCTCTGATGATGTCCGTCATATGACGGACGAAAGCTTAGCACATTTTCACCGGAATCGAAGGAGATT